TACAAAGACCACACACACAGAAGTGTGCAACTCATAAATTTAGAACTGTAGTATTTCTAATTATATATTGTTTTGCAACTTGCAAGGGCAGCACAGTACTCCTGCTCATACTAAAAGCAGACAAGTCTGTCCTAAATTTAACACATAAATTAATGTTCTACACTAAAACAATACCAAAAGTAAAATATGCTGAACATTATAAGTCACTGAACTTTACTGAGTACTCAGCATTGCTATAAATATTTAAATAGTAAATACAGAATACCTGTTTTCATGAGCTTTGAATTCACACAGGCATTTCTGAGAGTCACAGCTGTAGAACCTTATAATTTCATCACCTCCAGCTATGGCAAGAATAGAATCCTTGGAATGGGGTGAAAAAGAAGCAATTAATTTCATATGCTTCAAACCAGCTAATTTCCCATCACCTTTCTGTTTTCAACTTACTGTAATAAATCTAAGTGAAGAAATTCTCTTCTCTGTTGTGATAGTGCCAGTGATTGAAGCTGTGTCAAGTTTGTAGATATCCACTTTATTTGTTATCACAGTCACGTACTTCTCTCCATCAGGGGACCATTTAATTATGTGGGCATCTGTACATATTGATACATCAGTATACACATGTACACAGGCTTTTTGCACTTAATATTGCATGAAAATCTAAAAGTAAGAAATTTTAGAACCTGCTAGACACTGTTTTCTACCTAAGCCTGAGAAAAATTCAGGGGAAAAAAAATAACAACTAAAAAAAATAAAACAACTAAAACAATACTCTTCAATGTTTATTTCTGATTATCAGAAGTGTATTAAGAAGAACAAAACGCATTTATGTAAGTGTCCTGACATAAAATTTCAAGCAATAAAAACATTTACTTTAGTGTTACTGTGTTTTCCTTTCGGTAAATGGTTATTATTGAGGACATAAGTCATATATGCTTGCCTGCTCGTGCAAAAAAGACATTGTGGAAGTTGCTTGCAATTAACTGTCTTCTTGTTTATTCCAGTCTACTTTTCTTTACAAAAAAAACAGATCTAATTCTACTTTTTTAGTGGATTTAGACTGATCTACTCACTTTGCTTCAGGTTTTTGATAAAGGCTGATCGTCCTTCTACAAGATTCCAAGTTCTGAAAGACAACAGTAAATAAAGTGCATTCTGGTTAAAACAGCACAGTGAAACTGAACTGCTGTCTGCTGACATAAGGCATCCAAAGGAAGCTTTTAAGTATCTCTGTGCCTTCTTAATGCAAGAGAAAGTGATGACTTCACATATCACTTGCAGACTATAAGGTTGAATTTGTAATATTTATTTTAGAACCCACCATTAACAGTGCAGTGCAGAAAGGAGCCCAATACCAATTTGTGCTGTTAAAATAGCATTTTATATATTTAAAACCCATATATAAAGCAACATCTAAACACTCCAAGTGAAAAATTACTTTTCTTACACTAAGCAAAACCTGAGAGCTTTCAGAATAAACAAGTGTTCCAAAATGCACATATAATTACACATCTAAAAGTGACTATAAAGAGTCAGAGCACAAAAAGCTAGGAAAAGCAAGGACTGTTTTTAAAAGACTTAAAAATATTGCTGGTACCTAGAACATAAGAAGACAAAACAATGAATTTCTGAACTGTATGCTGTGCAAATATGGTTTATCAGTGTTGCAAAGTCTAGTCCCAAAACGGAATTGTTGCTTATAACAATTTACTGAGAGTTACTGTACTATGACTCTCAGCATTCCTTCATCAGTTTCAACTCACCTTAATGTTTTATCTGTTCCTACTGACAAACATAATTTCCCAGAAGGATGGATAGAAAGAGATGTCACATGCCCCCTGATAAAACCAAAATAACGTGTTAGCCACATATACTCTTTACAAGGAAAATAAACATCAAAATTTATGTGAATAAGCAGAATTAGGAAACTCACTTATGTGCCTTAATGGATTTCAGGCACTCCCATCTTTTTGTGTTCCAGATACAAATTACCCCATCTTCAGCCCCACTCAGTAGATGTGCAGTACCATAGAACTCCAAACAAGTTACTGTGCCTAGAAATAAAAGCCAGTACTATTAACAATGTTGTACATACTGAACAGTTACCACACAGAGAACGAACGAATTAACAGACAAGCTTATAACATCAAAACATGCCAGCTATTACCCCACCCTTAGGAAAATCTGCATTATTTCCTAACTATTTCTTCACAAACCCCCCAAACTTTCCTGTTATATTCAACCACTGATATGATTCAATATATCTATCAGCTGCCTGACAGCCAATACACATCTGAACTCTATCTGGTCTGTTCTCTGAAACAGCAGCGCTCAACCACTGTGGCACAGAGCTTCTATCAGTGGTAAGAAATGCTCCTAAAAAGCCCTGCTTTTGGCACACAGCTGAATTTATTGCACATGCTGCTTCCCATAAGCACCAGATTTACCAGAAGCACCAGATTTATCATATGTGAGTTGAACACAGGTACCATGTTCAGTCTAGCTCTAAGTACTTTGGCTATCAGGAGAAAAAGGACAATCAACACTGAGTTACAAATGACAAAAACATGAGTGCTTTATTTGTTTTTTTTGTTTGTTTGTTGTTTTGGTTTGGGGTTTTTTTTTTTAATTATTGAAAGCAGCCCTGTGGAGAAAGACCTGGGGGTGTTGGTCGATGAGAAGCTCAACATGAGCCAGCTTCAGTGTGCACTCACAGCCCAGAAAGCCAACTGTATCCTGGGCTGCACCAAAACAAGTGTCATCAGCAGGTTGAGGAAAGTGATTCGCCCCCTCTCCTCTGCTCTTGTGAGACCCCACTGCAGTACTGCATCCAGCTCTGAGGCCCCAACATAAGAGGGATGAGGACCTATTGAAGTGAGCCCTGAAGAGGGCCATGAAGATGATCAGAAGGCTGGAGCACCTCTGCTATGAAGACAGGCTGAGACAGTTGGGCTTGTTCAGCCTGAAGATGAAAAAGCTCCTGGCAGATCTTTTAGCGGCCTTCCAGTGTCTAAAGGGGGCCTAAAAGATATCTGGAGAGGGGCATTTTTTAAGGGCATGTAGTGACAGGACAAGGAAGAATGACTTTACACTGATAAAGGGAAGATTTAGATTAGATATTAGGGTGAAGTTCTTTACTATGAGGGTGGTGAGACACTGGAACATGTTGCCCAGAGAAGCTGTGGCTGCTCCACCCCAGGAAGTGTTCAAGGCCAGGTTGGATGGGGCTTTGAGCAAGCTGGTCTAGTGGAAGGTGTCCCTGCCCACGCCAGAAGGTTGGAACTGGATGATCTTTAAGGTCATTTCCAACCCAAACCGTTCTGTGATTCAATGATTTGGATAGCTATTAACTGACTACACAGCTGTAATTCAGGAGACACAAAGTGGGGAATGTACCAGGTTAACTCTTCTGGCAGCAGCATCGTCCTCTCACACACAAGCTCTCTTTTGTGTGGCTCATGTCACACATCTGTGACAGGACAAGGACACTGGGAAAGATGGTTCTGGGGAGTAGGCATGGTCTAGATAGTGTCCTGACCAGACCAGAAATGACTTATGAGCCATTTGTGGGCCATAACTTCATAAACAGTTAAACCTAAAAATAATTGGAAGCCGCTATATTTGTGGAATCATACCCAAAATAATTTTTGGATTTTTATGCTCAAAAGCTTCCTTTGCTTGTATTGTCAGACTTTGATGGCTGCAACACCATCACTATTAAAGACTTACTAAAAAAAAAAAAAAATAGTCAATTTCCTTCTTCTGACAAGGGCCAGTTTTTCTGCTGTAAGTTTCTAACATCAATGTTTTTTATGAGGAGAAGCTCCCTTACCATTGTGCTGCAGCAGTGCCCCATGTTCTACCTTCTTTTTCATGTCATAGATTTGGATTGTCTCATCTTTGCTCCCAGTGACCACATATCTGTTATTCACAGCTACCGCTGACAACGAGGCAGTGTGTGCATGATGTGTAAAATCAGGGGCAACTGTCCAGGACTGTAAATGAACGACAAAATAAACATGTCTCTCTGAAGCTGAACTTCGACTTTATCATCCCGTACTTTCATTTTGTTTCAAGCAAAACATAAAAAAAATTACGTGTAAAAGGCAAAGAAATTACACTTAGCTGTAAGTATAATGGCATTTTACTGAATTAATGCGCTCTTAGGAGATTAGTCTGAACAATTAAGAGTGCAAACCGCCTTCTGTAATGAGCGTTGGCCTTAGATGAAGCTGCATGTGAAAAAGGATCTCCACAGAGATAAATCTCTTGGACAAGGGAGGCGGATTCTTCCTATTTTCCACCATTGGAGGCTGGAGACACGCCTTCCACCTGACACCAGCCTCGCGAGGCACTGTGGCATCTATCCTCTGCACTGCTGTTTACTCCCAGCTCCGCGCTGAACGGCTGCGAAAAACGAGCTCAGACCGCAGCCCCCTGCGACCACGCGGCCGGTCGCTTCCCGCAGCTCCCCCGGGAGCCCTGTCCGCCTTCGGGCCCGAGCAGCAGGGTGGCCGTGGGCCGCTCCCACACCGGCGCCAGCAGCTAGGGGCCGAGCCTGCGGCTGCCAGAGCCTGCCCCGCCCCCGAGGCGCTTTAAAAGCGCGGCCTGCGCCCGGTCCCGCGGCCGCGCAGCAACGAGTCGGTGAGTACTTGGGTGCGTTCTCTCCCCTGCTCTTCCCCTCGCCCCTCAGAGTGGGTTGGCGGGCGGCCGTTAGGGTGCATCCGCTTCCCTCCCGTTCCCTCCGCTTCCCCCATGTTACCTCGGCGGGTCGCACAGCGAACCCGAAGAGAACCTGCTCGTAACAGCCCGCTACCAGCTCCATTCCACCCCAACACGCGGCACTAGCTTGGGGTCCTGCCGCCGTCAGCCGCGGTCCGTCCGCCGCGCTGCCTGCGCCCGCGCCAGTTTTGGGCCCTCGACTAGAGGCCGGCAGCGCTCCGTCGAGGAACGTTCTGCGGCCTCCGGCAACCGTCGCGGAGGAGGAAGTGGTCGGGTGTGGCGGCGGCGTGGGCTCCGTGGGTCAGGCTACGCTGAGGGCAGCCCAAGCGGGAGGTCCTCGCGGGGCGGAAGCGGGGCTCGGCCGCTGCTGATGGCGGCGCGGAGGATGAGAGGCGTTAGTGCTGGGATCGGCGGGTGGGGGAGCTGGGGTGTGAAGGGGCACATCGCGGTGACTGATGCCGGGCTGTGGGGGCAGCCGGCGGGAAAGGGAGCGCGAACCGATCTGCTGCGCGACGGGAGGAGGGAGCGGCATCCTCCCTCCCCGCGGGGCCTCAGCCATCGCCTCACGGGCGGCTGGGCCGCGGGCAGGGCGGGGAAGCCTGGCTAGGCCTCGGCTGTTGGGCCAAAGCGACCCCGCGCCCGGTGACTACCCACCCCCTTGGGGCGCAGCGTAAGGAGCGTCATGGCCATCTCGTGGGGGCCCTGCGGGATTTGCCTTATTTAGTGTTTTTTTTTTCTTCCGCTTCGTGTCTTATCGCGTAGCACAATAAGGGGGAAGCGCGGGTGCTGCGGAGGACCGCGGCCGGGCGGGGCGCACTTCTTGTAGGGCGCCGTGGCTCGTCCCTTCCCGTCGTGCCGAGTGGCTGATAAAAATGCGTCATGCCATGATGCGGCCCTGGCCTGGGCTCGGCGGATCCCCGCTGCCCTGACCCGCATCCGCCTTCAGTGTGAGCGAAATTAACGTCGAGGGGGGTGGCTCGCCCTCTCCTTCGCTGAGTGGTGTGAGCACAGGCGATTTTATTTGCAAATGGCTTCATCTGCCTTTTTGGCAGTGCAAACGTAATAGATATAAGCGTGGAATAAATGGTCTGGTGAAACGCGTGTGTAGTCCAGTTAAAGAGGTGGTTGAATTCTGGAGATTAAAGCTGCCCTACTGCTTAAATGAAAACTAGATGTGATTGTAGCTATGGTTAAGGCAAATGGAAAAAAACGTAAGTTAATACATGCTGTCTTAATGACTTTTAAAATATTTTTGTATTTTAGTGAAAAGATCAAGAGGCAACCTTCAAGATCTGACAGGGAAAGAGCACAAAACTGCAATTTTGCATCAAAGTCCACAGTAACTGATTGAGAAACAGTTGCATCACTCGCCTTGCGATAGCCTGTTGCAATAAAAGGGCTTTGTAGTGTGTGCCATCTTCTGCTAAATCCACACAAGTAAAAAGTGGTAAGTTAAAAATATTATAAGCTTGTGGATTCAGACATTAATATTTCAGTGTTTAGAGCATGGAGGGTTTATGGTTCCTTTTATCAAAAAGTAATGCTTGACTTGGAGAAACATCACTATATGGATGTTTTTATTAATAATGACCTTCTTTGACAGGATGATGTTGCAGATGCTCAGGTAATGAGCACAGTTAGTCTTAGTAAGAGGGCACATGCTAACTTCACTAGTATATGCTTGTATTTAAGGGCTTGTTTCTACTTGACTGCTTTCTTGGGCTCAGAAAGAGTGCAGGGATGGAGTAATTATATGCATGGCTGCTCTAATTATGACATGGCTATCCTGTGTCAGGTCAGTTTAATCCATTTTCAGAGTAATGGTGGTAAAAAATGAGAAATGGTGAATGAACAGCTGTATATGGAAGTAGGTGCAAAATATTTTGCAAATGAAACACTTCTGTATTGATTGATATGGGCTGGGTGACTAGGGTAAAAGGCTTAGAGGCCATAGGAATCAACAGAGAGGTATATATGTCTTCAGGAAAGTGTATTTACTGGTTTAGTGATAGCAGTAAAAGGTTATTGCCAACTCACTGGTAGTGAGTGAAATGGAAGAGGCAAAAGAGAAGATGTACCTGAGAAAATGTGCAGAGAAAGATCACGTTTACCTGTACTGTGCCCTTTTGGTTTATTTCTTTTGTTCTTTAGCATGTAGAAGATACCACAGCTTGTTTTTAGCTGTGTAATTTGTGGTAAAAGTAAAACAACTTTTAATTTGGCTAAAAGAAAAACCCACCCGAAGGGCTGTACAAAATGTATTGAAGCCTCTATCTCTGATGCCTTGTTTTTAAACTATTTCATAATATGGATTTTCTGTGTTATATGTAGGTATTTCAGAAGTAATGTTAAGTTGTAGGTGACTTAAAAGCTCTCTAATTTTCTAGTGCATTTGCTAGTGGGAAAACTTTGTGGACTATTAAATTTTAAGAAAATGAGGATGACTTCTAATCATAATCCCATTGGTCATATACTGTCTTTGTTGCTGTTGCTTTAGCAGTGAAAAGTTAAAACTTGGAAATCTAAGTTCTGAATTAATAACATTAAAAACCTAAGGCAAGGTGAACATCTTTGCAAGTAATTTGTCTGAAGGTTCAGATTCTTCATCTACCTGTTCCTCTCCCATGTTTTTCAGCTGAAGAAGCTGAAACTGAACCTGTGCTGCCATAGTCTTCAAGAAGGGCGGAAGACAGTTTGAGCCATGGCGAGCCAGGTAAGATCATTTGGTCAGAAATTCAGGCTTGCAGTGCCTAAATGGATTCCAGAACCATACTCAGAATTTCTAGTAACTGTAAAGCTGAAATAGCTAGCTTGCTCTGAGTTGGGCATTCTTTTAGTCCTATGATTGCTTCTGGCAATGTAAGTGGTGGCTGTCCTTGGGACACCTACTTGCATCAACTGAAGCAGGTTGGGGGCATAACATTAAGTTTTCCAGTTTGGATTACTTGAGCATGAGTTCTTCTGAAGGACCTTGTGCATAACACTCTCTATATAAGATACACATAGAGGTGTTCTAGCGGAAGAACGTTAAAGCGTGCGTAAGTAAAAAAATGTTGCAAAACACCATTCTTATTTTTGGAAGTCTTCGTTCTTCAGAATCTTGAGGGAGGCAACCTGTGTTAATATGGCTGTTGTCTCCCTTGTCTTTTCTGTAGTTGCCCCACTTCCTTTTTAAACTGTGTTTCTTTGGGTTTTGGTTTTTCTTCTTGTTTTTTTTTTTTTTTGGCAAGAGGTGCTTTTTTTTATGCCTCTTCCTGGCCTTGCGTCTGGGTTTGAGTTTTTCCTCAGCCAAGCTAGTGCCTGTTCCAGGTCTGCTTTCTCCTTGCATTCCATTAATCGGCCTCCTGTTGTTCCTGGCCTGGGAGAGTGAGTCAGAGCTGGGTAGTGAAGAAAGGCATCTCACATAAAAGAATCCCTAGGTGAGGGGAGATAGGGACAGCTGAGATCCCTTCTAGGCAAGAGTGATGATTTCCCTGCCTCTTCATCACTCAGACTGCTGCTGCTGCAGGGTTTTTTGGAGTCCTGGAGCTCGAGTGGAACACAGTCCAGTCCTGAAGCTAATTAACATTTAGGATTGGCCAACATCGGAGTGCTGTCTGCTTTTTCCCTAATTCCAAGAGGAAGCGGTCGATCCTATAGCCAGCTTTACAAGTCAGGGGAATATGGCTGTTCATACAATCCTTTGGCTCTGTTATTTTTGCCAGGCGTTTTCCCCAGAGGCTGCTTTCCCTCATGGGAGGCGGAGGGAGAAATGGGACCCCAGGCTTCTTTCAAGGGCAAGGTGAATATGGGGAAATCACCTGTGGTGATGGGGAGTGGGAGGGAGGAATGTAAATAAGGCTAAATACTATAAAGGTGATTTTTTTTTTTCTCCCAACAGGAATTGCTGGCGAAAAAGAGAGAATGTCTTCAGGCCTACAGCTGGTGGAGAACGCCACAGAAGAAACGGAAGAAAAAGAACAAAATAAAGCCAGGAAGAATAGAGTTTGTCCCTAGTAGTACTGCAGCCAGGTAAAGAACTTTTGAAAGAAGCTCTGACTCTTTATCTGCTGAAATTAATAGTAACCAGTGAATACCATAGCTTATTTTTTAAAATCCTGAAATGGTACACCTGGTGCCTATACATTTAAGTATTGCTAATAGAAATGCATTGCCAATAGAATAATGAAGCTATCTTGTCTGCTTCTGCCATAATTGCTAAGAAGTGGTGGCAAAATAGTTACAGCTTTTTTGAATCATATGGCTGTAACTTGAGTTAATATTTTTTTTCTTGATGCTTTTGTGCTTTCCTCCCCTTCAGACAATAAATGCCCTTTAAAATGCTTTTTCCTATTTTTATTGTGAAAGTGGCAGAATGGACCCAGATAAATTGAGAACTCGGTGTGAGAGTGGTGGCATTGCAGTTCTGTACATTACTCTGCAGAGCTTTGCAGTCAGTACTGCTCTCAGAGTTTATTTCCTTATTTGTGCAGTGATAACTACCTGCCTGTATGTTAGGTACCTTAATACTGCAATCAGCTACCTTAGTCTCAAGCTTGAAAATTGTTCTCTCATCTTTTTAAAGACCAGATTATTCAATATTTGTTGGGGAGCTTACTCCAGAAGTGGATGATTTCCAGCTCTATGACTATTTCCTAAAGAGGTACCCCTCATGCATTGACTGCAAAATAGCAACAGATCTGCTGGGATACTCCAGGTAATGCCTGTGAAAATTTGTAATGCTGTCAATGTTTGCTTCTATAAGTAACATACAAGAACTTGCACTGGAACCATTTCTACGTTTTCTTCAGATGTGGGAAGAGAGAGTAGTCTCTAGGATTATATTTTTTTGTCTTTTAATGGCATAAATCCTCATGTCTAAAACTTTCTGGTGTAAGCAGTTAACGTAATCTTCCGTTTAGCCATATGTGTATCTGCATGAAAGCAGCTAGATGGTGGGAGAAGGGAGAGGTGTCACCAAAATATGTGCTGCTGTGCTTACATACAGTAGTGCGTCCATGTAGTCTTTTGCAGTACTGAAGACGGTAATTGCCTTTTTACATGTGGGAGAAAAGTGTAAGGCCTGGCTAATCTTGGGGTTGGGAGATTGAAACTGTATTAACAGCTAGTAAAAAAAGCTTAGAAGTTATACTCGCCAGGCAGTGAGTCAAGCAGGGATGAGCGAGTTTACTCGAGCTGGCTGTAATAGACTAATTCAAGAAGCTTCAGAGAAAAGAAGTTTAAAAAGAATGATAGTAGGAGTGGGTTAATAATTAACTTCTGTAGATGCAGAAACGTGGAATCTGATTACTTACACAGATAGCAATTAAACTGTACAGTTTCATTGGCTCTCAGCAAGTTGCATCGTAATGCTATCAAAGAACAAGCTTTTGGCCCAAGATTTTAATTTTGTGAAAGCATCTTCTGTGTAAGTGCACATGCCAGAGAGGTTGCTTAGCTAATAGAAGCTATAGTAGCTGCTATCTTTGGGTTTCTTCTTTTTTGTAGAAGACAAATTGAATTCATTAGCTTTGTAACTGTTATGCATACTAGAATTTATTTTCTCCCTTTTGCAAATTGTAGAGGGTATGCCTTTGTCAGATTTGGTGAGCAAGGTGATCAGATGAGGGCACTGCAAGACTGCCAGAATGCACCAGGTCTGGGGGGAAAACGAATCCGGCTGAGCATAGGAATTTCTAAAAGGTAATAAATGAGTTGTGCATTGATACAATAATTCTAAATAATCAGATTCTTGTAGCTCTGCCTTTTTAAAGTCTGTGGCTCCTGTATAATGGCTGTACACACAATGCAGTCTGCAAAATCAAAAATGCAGAAGCACTGTTTTGACTCAACCTTTCAGGATTGCTGGGGGAATCTAACTCTAAGTCTAGCCAGATCATGTAACTTGGGCTTACCTGCTGTTGTAACCAGCCTTAATTCTTACAATAGCAAAGCTGAATGCATTCATAGGTATTTTCCAGGACTGGGCCTGAAGCAGGTAGAAGGAACAAGAAGTGTTCTTGCATGCTGGGGAGCTTTTCTTCTAGACCTTTCTCTCTAGTTTAGGCAGTGTAGCACATAACTGTTTTTTAGGCTGGCAGAGAAGGGATCTTTTAAGTGGAAAAATACAGAATATAGTAGGGAAGAAGCTAAAGGAGATGTTGCTGAAGCAATTTTAGAATATTATGCTTTTCAAGTGGTTGGGGCAGCAGGAAATTTAGAATGGCTTGATTTTGAGAGGGTTTATTACTGTGCCTGCTCTCTTCTCTCTGTCGGTTATTTAAGGCAATTCAAGTCTATGAACAGAGAGTTGATACCAGATTTGATAAACTTTGATACTCTGGATAATTCTGTAAATGTCGCCTCTGCTTTACAATGGAAATGCTCTTATGCAAGAGAGCACTGTCCAGAATAACATTGACTAAATTATTTGCAAACACGAAGAGGTCACAGAGAAACATGTTTCTTCACTTCTGCTGTCCAGAAGAATGTTGGCAGTACTTCCAGATTTTTCTTTCATACAGAGATGCATGTAGGAGAGAAATTAGCAGCAGAAGACTTTGAGACATTATGTAGTTGTTTGTTTACTACAGTAGCAAGACAATAGGATACCTGATTGAGAACATGTGTAGCTTCACAGTCATGAAACTAACATAGGTATCAAAATACACATCGGTAATCTGTATCTGTTTCTGAATGGCTGAGTACTATACTTTCTCAGCATCAAAATATCCAGCCATCAGAGTAGTTTGTCACTAAGACGCTTACATTGGAAACTCTTCTTTCTGAGCTCCTTCAGTTTGCATTCTTGACAAAAAGCCTGGTTCTGAGTTTTCTGTAATGAGGTAGGGATGCACAGAAATTGGACTCTGCAAACACAGGAGGCCTGCCTGAACGAAGCCAGTGAAGTAATATCTTAAACATAAAGGATTATTTTTGAATGTGCAGCTGGACTTCGTGAATGTATTTTCATGTGGTGTGCCTCTGGTTTTGTACCTCTGTTCTATTACAGACAACACTTGTGCATTGATTCTAGTGTGAACTTGTCCCTGGGAAAATGTATTCAGGTGAAAGAAAGTAGTGAAAACTAATCAGCTGGCCCTATGGTATGAACCAAACAAAAGATAGACTGAACACATCTTTAAAGCAGCTGTGCTTGACCAGTGTCTCTGCTCTTAATAAATTTGACTTCTATCAGTAGCTTGCTTGTACAGATACTAAATATGCTCAAAATGAATACCAATAAGCATCATGATGTGCGTTAATCTGTGAAAATGAATGCTTTTGGTATTGCAGAGGTGAGAGAATTTGCTTCTGTATAAACTTGAGATCTTGTGCTGTGATTTAGACTGTTGCTTTTGGGCAACTATTCAGAAAAGCTTCCTTTTAAACTTGGAAGTCTGTAAGTTAGTAAATTGTTTAACTTCAGAACTGGGTTTGCAGTTTATTCTTCTCAAATTCTAACTCTGTGTAACCTCTCATGTTGCAGACTGAAAGCAGAATTCCAGCGGTACCAGTCATACAACTACAATGACTATTACCAAGATTATCAGAACTACTACTCGCAGTGGAATTATGATCCTTATGCTGACTACAACTACAGCTCCTATACTCCCTATGATAACATGCAAGCTGTTGGAGACTGCTCTTTAGGAGATACTCTTATGGCTCCAGCTGTTTTTGAGGTAAAGATACTACACATTTGCTTTAAAGAAAAAAGTTCACAAATTGTAAGTTGTGTGAATTATATGAGAGCACAAAGTCCTAAAACTGAAATTGTGCTTTCTGCTTAGTGTGGGTGTTAAAATAACAGGCGTCATTGAGAAGTATCTTTTAAGTGCTTAAGTACTGCATCTGTAGAATCAGAGATTAATACATCATTATTCATGTATGCCAAATAACAGTTCTGATGGCCTACTTGTGTAGGCTTCCTCTCTTGCTGTTTTTCTGATGCACTTTGCTTAATGCAAATTGAAGAATTATTTTAGGATGGTCTTACCTTAGATCAGCTAATTTTTCAAGTGGAACTTCCAGAAGTCCTTTCCAACCTGAACTATACTGTTACCATAAAAGTTGGTTGGAGAAACTGTGATGGTTGGAGACTGTGATTTGGGAGTACAAAGTTATTTTGTATTCATGATGCTTTCCAAAATGGATTATGATTATAATTCAATTTAAAAGTTTTTTTTTTCTCTTTAGGAAACTTCAGCTATGACTGAAATCAATGATGACCTAATAACTGAAGGTAACTGAGTTTAGCCATACTTGGCCCTTTAACAATATAAGCCAATGAGTATTGAATGACAAATGTTTTGCAAATTCAGCTGATACAGTGGGACCTTCTGTGTGCTAAAGTTGAGATGAGGTTAGGATTTTAAAGCTGACAGTGGTAGACTACATCAAGTAGAATGGAACGTTGTCAACAACACAGTAGGTTTTGTTTTAACTTTGCCTTCATTCTCCTTCTGAAATGGTCTGATACTGAATTTGTGATGTCTGTGTATTGATTTTGCTAAGCATATTCTGCATTAAACTCATGAATATGCAAAAGCTTTGTTGGAGAACCCTGAGGTAAAAGCTTACATTGCAGGTCCTAAAAGGAAGATTCAGCTTGTGCCTAAAAATTTGGTACAAAACTTAATTGTTTGGCCTGAAAAGTTTTCAGGCAGTTCCTTGCATAGAGACAGTCTTGTCAGTGTTCAGAAACTGTCCTCTCTAACACACATTGTAGTAGAAACTAAATTAATTTGGGGAAATTTCCATAGTTAATTACCCTTAAATCTGTTCTTTATCTTGGAATGCCAGTGTAGTCCTAGCATTCTAATATGCAAATTCCAGAAGAAGCTGGACTTGTCAGATTTGTTAAAATTCTAGGTGAAAAAACATCTTGCTACCTTTACTATTAAATCCATCACATTTAACTAAAACACATTTTACTAGTCATTTACTTTTTTGTGTATGTGTGCATCCCTCCCACTTGTACTTACCAGACTTTTATTTTCAGATCCACAACTTTACTTGGATGTTGATGAAATGAACAGACAATTTATGGAGACAAGTGAAGAACTCTATGATTCCCTCATGAATTGTCACTGGCAGCCTCTGGATACGGTCACTTCTGACATCCCCTCTGCTATTTAAGTGTCTTATATAGCATGACCGTAACGACCAAGGTGCTAAAATTACATTTCTTCTACATTACTCTAGATCATAAGTTTTAAAGCACAATGATAGGTTGGGTTTTTTGCTATGCTTTTGACAGTTTCTGTAATTTTTTTTTGTTCATCACTCAGAGCATCTTGAAATCATGTAAATATTCTAGAAATGTAAAGAGTTCAATAGGGTCTAAAGATAGACTTGCCTGTGTAAATAAAATTTTGTTTCTGCAAACCTGCCAGCAAGGGATTTTACTTACATACGTGAAGCACATTCTCTTCTGGCTTGTGGTATTCCACCTGCCACTGCATGGACATCAGGAGTAGGGAAAACTAGTTCTCACATACTTCCAAGTTACCTAGGCAATCTCTTACAAGCTCTTAACACATTTGATTAGATGGCATGTGTATATGGGAGATGCTCCCAGAGTTTGCCATGGGAATGCTTGGGCTGCTTCTGCAGTCTGCTGGCACTCACTGTAGTACTGTTGATCTGTTAGGTCAGTTAAAATTGCTTTATCAATACATGATTTTAAACATAGATAAGGGCAAACTTTCAGCTGCCATAGCTGCAAACATTCCAAAGACTAAACATGATCCCTACTGACAATTTTATTCCACCCTTCCTCCTGTTAATCTTCTCAACTGACACTTCACAGCAAAGAAACTGGTGTAACATAATACATGCTCTTAAAACCTAAAAATCCTCTGAGAAAATAATTTTTTAAAAGGAAGAAAGTTAACCGTTGAAAATAAAAAGATCCTAGTAAAACTTGTCACCTAAATTGCTAAACATCTAATTTATTTTTTATTTTTCTTTTCAGTTTTTGTGCTCGGGTGTTTGATAGTGATGAGGTTATAAAATTTTTGTAGTATGAAGAGTTTTCAGTATTTGAGTCAAAGGAGACTAGGGGAGGTAGCAATGAGGAAAGTTCTGCTTTAAGCTAGCTACTTCTGAGTAGCTTCTTCTAAACTCTTCTTATAAGGAAGGGTATAAAGTATTTTCCAGTCATAAGAACTTCTTAAGCCCATGTGTTTGCAAAAGTATTTACTCTGCTTAATTTACATGATAAAATAAATTGGGCCGGAAACAGAAGAATACTCTTCCAAGAAAACCGGTATCAGAAGTTATCAGAGCTAATAGCTGTGGAAGCTACTAAAGCTAGTGAAGACATTTGCCATGTGTGTTTTTGGGGCAGCCTAAACCATAATTGCTATGATGGCAGATGAAGTTCTCTGGCTTTTTTTAATGACTTAATTACATTAAAATTGTGTTCATAATCTATGTGCTGTTCTTAAATTTGAAATGTTGTATTTCAGAGTGAAGATGATGTTGGCAGATCATTTCTAGCTGCTAATTAGATTCTCTTTACAGCTTAATTTTCAGCTAGGAATATTTTTCAAAATTACTCCCATGAAATGCAGATTTTCTAAAACACAAAAGGCTTTTGGAGTACTAGAGGAAGTTCGTTCTTCCTGGATTTTTTTGTAGATACGCATGTAGGAAGAGACAGCAAAAAATCTCACCTAGGCAGGAGGAGTAGCATCGCAGTTATAGGAACTGTTTTCCCTGGAGAGATCTAGTTGCAAGGTAATTGCAACTGCTTGGAGTTCGGATTTCTTGGATGAACGTTTCCCTTGTGTGAAGTGGTAAGGCTTTGGAGGGTGATGGTAGAGAGACAGTTAATGAGAATATGTCAGGAAGTGGAGTAAATAAAGCAAAGAGAATCTGGGTAGGAAAGGGGGTGCTTGTGTGCCTGCATAGAATTGTTTCAGAGAACTGCAGTAGGGAGGAAACTCAAGTTAGTATGTGCAGACTTCTTGAATTTGGATGGGAGTATTAAGCTTCAAAACCATACAGGATTTGATGCCACTTCAGTTGTGGTGTATAGCTGTGTTGCTTGAGCTGGGTAATACGAAAAGGTTTGTTAAGGGATTTTGTACCAATCAAGCAGCATGACAGCTTGCAGGTCTGTGCTGTATTGTATTGTGCTTTGAAGTGGCTTGCATATCATCACCTAACATTGTACTGAAGTTGCAGCAAGTAACTTTTTAAAAGCTTTTCTTGCATTACCAGTTGAAAATGAGATGCTAAAGATATGCATTGGCTCAGCAGAACTCCTATGGAGCATCTATGCTACTTTTTTTTGTATTTGGGAGGTTGACTATATAATAAGGAGCCCATGTAGCTATGGGATTTTGCTTAAGTCTGACACTGTACTACCACAGTATGTAAACCTCAAACAAAGTTACAGTCTGTAGCCACCCCATTCATGCATATTTTACCTGTTAACAAGGTCTCTGGACTAGAGACTGTTTCAGACATGCATGTGCCTTTTGTAAGTACCCATATAGTGAAAATTCTGTGAAGGTAATGCAGTGAAAGAGGTGGTTTGGGCTGCTGTTTCTCCCAACCTGAGAAATGTCGGGGCTGTATTTTCTTCCAGTCAACATATGAGCAAAATGAGGCAAGAATCTGTTGAGAGGGAGCCCATGTGATACTGTCCTAAAATAGTTCTCTGACCTCTTTTTCTGTCTCCTGAGCCTTGCTAGCTTATTCCTACTTCCAGTTAGGAGTGCATATGTGGGATCAAGATCGTGTGTGCAGCACATACTCTTTACAGGAAAGGCACTGTAGAATTTCTTCCCTGTATTACTGGTGTGGTGTTACCCATAAACCCCAAATACAGGAAACAGTGAGTGTATCACAACTGTGAGAATATGTTGCTGAGACTTTCTACTGAGTAAGCTTACAGTTCTTCCACAACTGTCCATCTGCATTAGCTAGTTTAAGAAACACCTGAACACATGCTCATGCCTGCCATCAGTTCTACAAAGATCTGATTGCAGTGGGAGCATTTAAAAACAAAACACAAGTTTTAGAAGCAACTTTTTCAACACCAGTCTATTCTAGTTGTGTTTTGTCTCTATTTTACCCAGCTGAAATGTGTGGTTGGTGGTTTTTTGTTTTTTAAGCTTGATGTTTTTTTTCCCCCCCCAAGAATATCTAATACTGGTTTTATAAACTCTTCATTGCACCTAGCTGTGATAGTGCCTTTACTCAAAACCTGCTCATTTCTTTGAGTTGTGTTTTTGTTTTCTATCCCTTCTCTGCACAAAGAGGTTTTAGTAGGATGAGGGGCTGCTAAACCTATAGTCAGTGAGTAGGGAGAAGGAAACAGGCCAAAAAGGGTGAGGAGTACTTAGAAAGGGTACAAAACAGTTAAATGGTACTTAAGCCATGAATGTTTCTTTTTGCAGGGATGCTCTTGGACCAACAGCTTCTTTCTAGCGCTACCTCAAAGTAACTTGCAGATATAACTCACAGGGAAGATTGATCAAATGGTGATGATCCCTATCATTCTGCTGGAGATTATACATATTTGCCTTTTGTTTTGTCTTACCTCTAATAACATATATTTAAGTTCAGTGACTCATGTCAATAGACATTGTTTGACTACATCAAATATTTCTGAGTCATGAGTGTCATTAAAGGCATGTCACTGTATGGAAATTGTTCTAAATAAGTAAAATGGAAGTAAAATAAGTAAATAAAGCAGCACTTGAATTTACAGAGCAAACATAATGTAGCTGCCTTTGACACCTCCATGGAAGAGAAAATTGTGTGTACAGGTTGCTCAATACATGTGGTGTGCATCAGAAATGGGGAGTCTTGTTTTCAATTTGCCCAGCTCTTAACATGTCCAGTGCAGAAGTGGTTTTAGTCAGTTCCCCACATAGGTATCATCTTAAGTGTCAGTGTTGCTGCTGAACATCTGTTACCAAAAGGCACAGTTTGTGTCCCTTGGTAAATCTTGGGCTTCCCATAATGTAAATATGTTATGATACATTCTTCCTTGCCCTTTCCTCAGTTGGAATTTAGCAGGATAATTGCTTCCTGGACAGAAGAGAGTTACAATTCCAGGCTAAAATGCTAGTCTTTTCTTGTATTTTGGTGACTGACACAGTTTTGTTTGTGTTTTTTTTTTTTTTTAATAGCATATTGTAAAAATGGAGCCTTGTCCTAAAACTGGGCTGCAGGTGTTGCACACCAGTTTACATGAAGTGAGGCAGTTCTTGCAGGTGACTTTACACATCTGCAGGGGGTTTATCTACCACTGTGAGGCATCCCACTTCACACACAGTTGTACTTATGGCAGTAGGGTAGGAGAGGAAGAGACTGGAGTTCTCTGCTTCATTAGAAGATACACCTGGAAAGTAATTCCATGCTGTGGTAATTTGGGAAATACTCATCTTTAGGTAACCATGAGAGCAGGACTGAGATATGGAGGAGCAGCAGGTTGTGTAGGAAAGCTGGGGAAGATACTGATGAGGTTAAAAAACATTACAAAGCCAAGACTAGGCAGTACCAGTCTGCAACAGCCTTCCTTCTGGAAGTAGTTCCTTCGCTGCTGTGGGTGGTTTGCATATCTTCAGGCCTTTGAAATCACCTGTACTGGTTTGAGTTCCCCAAATCCCCACACCGAGTGTGAGGCACTGGCACAGGTTCCCCAGAGAAGTTGTGGCTGTGCCATCCCTGGCAGTGTTCATGGATGGGACTTTGAGCAACCTGGTCTAGTGGAAGATGTCCCTGCCCATGGCAGGGGGTTGGAACCACATGAGCTTTAAGGTCCCTTCCAACCCAAACCATTCTGATACATACACTCTTCAGATGTATGCTGTGAGAGATGCTTTTGTTTCTGGTTGAGCGGGTGCACGCTACATTGCAGCTCCATCTTTCACTGTGAAGCACCTCTATGTAATTTTTTGGTACATTCTGTGACTGTTTTTATTACTGACTTCTATACAGGGAAGGTGTTTGTGGTTTTCTGCTCTGCTCCATCATTACCAGGGTGGATCAATGCTCTTAAGATGTAGAGCTGTAAGATTTTCCTCAACTTTTAGCAGAATAAAACACACGCACACACACCACTTTTACGTGTTAAAAATTTGTACTAGAAACGAGGTTGTCTTGTTTTGCGGAAGAAAAGACTGTGTTGAAGCTTTTTATACTCACCTCCTTCCATCCACCAAAACCGAGCAACAACTGACCTGCAGGTTCTCACTTGCATTGCTCACGCAACTCCGCCTAATGGCGGCACGCCGAGAAAGCACCTCTTGTCCCACCGGCTCCATCCCTTCCCTGCCGCATCCCTCCGGGAACACGGGAATCCCCGTCTTCCGGGGCGGCCCGCGTTACGCCGGCACGGACAAGGGGTGGATAAGTTGCGCTCCCGGAGCGGTATCACCGGCGAGCGCCGCCGCCTGGGCTTACCCGGCGCGGCCTCACCCCATCACACACCTCCGCTCCCGGTTGCGGGTTTCCCTCCACCCCGCTTTGCGGACCCTGGCAGTCCGGCGAGCGCGCAGCTCGTGGGGCGGGCGTACGGGACGTTAACACGGCCGCGTTGTGGTACAGCCCCTCCCGCTTGCCGCGAGCGGGCGGTGCCCGGGCGCGCGGAGCCTGCCGGTAGGTCCCGGTGTTGTGACGCAGCCCGCGCGGGGTAGTGACGCACGGTCTCCCGGCGGACGCTGTGTGGTTGGTCGGTCGGTCGGTCGGGCCGCCGGAGCAGGGGGGGGAGGGGTGAAGCGGCTGAGGCCGCGAGCGGGCGGTACGGTGCGGGGCCGGGCGGCGCCGGTGGAGCGCGAGCGAGGAGCGGGCGAAGGGCGTGCGCGCGAGTGCAGGGGGAACGTGAGAGGGAGCGCGCGCGCTCGCGCCCCGGCGCGCGAGTCGAGCGAACCGGCGGCGGAGTGGCGCGGCGGGGAGGGGCAGGCCGCGGAGCCCCCAGCGCAAGGCCGCGAGGCGCGTGGCGGGCGGGAGCGGCGCGCGGGCCGGGCCTGGCCGGGCCGAGCTGAGGCGGTGACAGCACTGAGCGGCGAGTGTAGCCGGGCCGCAGCGCAGGAGCGCGCCCGCACGAGGCGGCCGGCGGGGGCTGGGGCCGGGCCCGGCGCGCGCGCGCGGCGGGGCCGGGGCAGCGGTGGGGGGGGAAGGGGGCAGTAGCGGGGCCGGATCCTGTCATGGCCTCGGACGGCGGCGGCGGAGGGTTCGGCGGCGGCGGCAAGATTCGGACCCGGCGGTACCACCTGGGCGCCGCGAAGCCTCCCTATGCGAGGAACAAGCAGGTGAGTGCGCGGCGGCGGGAGCCTGCGGGTCACCCCCGGCGGGAGGAAGGCCTATTCCCCTGAGCCCCCTCAGCGGCGGGAGTAGGCCCAGCGCGGCGGAGCCTCCCCCCTTGTTCCACGTTTCCCACTCCCCATCCCCACACGTGCGCGGCTTTGGGTCGGGGTTTCCCGGTGGAGCGGCCCGGGGAGTGGAGAAGGGTTTCCCGCCGGGGCCGCGGGCATTGTGGGATTTCCGGGCGCTCTCCCCGCTCTCGCTCCGCCGGCAGCCCCGGCCCGCGGGGGAATCCTCGCCTCCCTTTTTGTCTGCCGCTGGGCCGGGGGAGATGCCCCCGCTTGGCAAGGAGCGAAGGCGGTAAGCGACCGCGGCGGCTGGGACCTCCTTCGCTGCGCCCTGCGGCTGGGGTGGGCCGGCCACCCCTCGGCGGAGTGGTCGTGGGGTTTTGTCTCCGGGGTGTGCTGTTCCTTAACGACCCCGGGGCGAACACCCGGAAGAATAAACTGCTGTCTGTATGCAACCGTCTCGGAGTGAGTTGTTATCCACCCCCCCCCCGCCCCGTTAAACTAATGCTGGGTTATCAGGCGTAGTTACTCTTCAGATTTAAGTGCATCGCTTCTAAGATTTGTGTTTCTTGATAAAGTTCAAATCGCAAATGAGTTTGAGTCGGGCATCCTCGACTGTTTTTTTTTTTTTTGTGGGATGCTGCATGCAGAGCCCTCGGGTCTGCATCTGGTAGTTTCTTCAGCCTCTTTCCTGTGACTAAATGTGCTGATGCAGTGCAAGTGAAATGTAATTCATAAGGCATTTGTTCTTCTTTGTATTGTAGGACAGAGTAGACGGATAACAAAAACTAGGGTAAATTGCGGCACAAAAAAGAATCCCATGCCATTTAGAGTGGCTGGAGGGGGGGAGGAAGCAGAGATCTTGCCAACTGCCACTAGCCAAGAAATTGCAAGATGCCTAGAGACAGTGCTCTGGAAATTACTTCAACGTGTACTTATGAACCTGAAGTTGACTGTTCAGCCAAAACCTTTACGTTATTGCATCGGTAACATAAGCTACGGGGTTGAGTATTGTATACAAAATTGAGGGAGTGCTGTGCACGAGTCGTTGCTTGATTAGTTTTTGTTATTTGGGACGTACTACACTTAGGCTTTTATATAGTGTTGTACAGCAGTGTTGTGCTTATAAAGCTAGCACAATGACTTCATACAAAGGATCACTGCACTTTCAGAGCAGATGTCAACAGCTCTTAGGTGAATGCTGGAACAATGTTGAAATTCCTGTATCTCACGTGTGTTGATCCTGTGTAGGTAACTGATAAATCTTACCCTTGAATTTGAAATAATCAGTCTAGATAGTTTTCTGACTCTTCCATTGTCTGTTATCTCGGCACTTTTTCTGGTAGGTTTATTTAAACAGTGTGCCAAAGCAGGCACGTGTTTGGGGAGGTCTGTGGGATTCTGCCCAGAGAATGGATGCTGTAAATTGAATACATAGATCAAATTAACAGTAATATACTGGGGGGGAGGGGGGTGGGTGGGGAGGGAGAGAATTGTAATGATTAAATAAATAGGCAAACTGATAGACATCAGACATGTCCACTTGTTCTAATGGGTAGCTTTTTAACCCTGTGCAGCTAGCTAACCTGCATTACATTCAAAGATGAGCTCTGGGTAGATAGCTAACTTAAATGGGAATTTATTGACAAGTGTTCCTATTTTCAATACAGTGCCCACTCTGCAGAAGTATTCTGCGCTTTAGTGTTAATTGTCTCTCGCTAATGAGTTTGGGAAGACAAGAAAGTGCTTAATGCAATCCCGACATGAGGTTATATCTCTGATTCTGATCCCCCTGTTATCAATAAGTAGGTTCATAGAGATGCTTTAATAGAACTCTTAGAGGTGTTTGTGGTCAGAGCTGCAGTCCTGAAAACCCTGTCTCTTCTCATTGAGCTCTGAAGGTGCCTAAGCACAGTACTCAGTATAGATGATGCCTTTAAAGCTCTTGGGACATCTGATTTTTTAATTTTTTTTTTCCACTTCTGTGCCCAGTGGTGAGCATGATGCCTGGCTCATGACTGACTGCTTTCTGGGTGGTGTTATTTTGCTATAGTCTCCTGGAGAGTTCAGTCAGGTGAGAGTTCTCTGATCATGCCCAACATGTGCTGCAGAGTTAGTCTGCTCTAAAGGACAGTGACAGTTTTAGAAGACAGTTGGAAGAGGAGGTGTTGTTGCTGCTGCTTTGTAATGACTATTAGGTAAATCATTTGTTCAGAATGTGGTAGACCCTGCTTCAGATGCCTTTTTGCCTGGAGGGATCAACCTACATCTTCCACTTTCTGGGCAAATATCCCAGTTGCCAAGCTGTATGTTGTCTTCAGTTCTCCTGGCTGAAGCTGTGTTACTATCCAGAAAAAGAAAGCATGATTCACTGAGCCAGAAAGAGGATGT